AGCCTAGACACACGGGGAGGACCTAGGCCCTGCTCCAAATGAATGTGACAGACTTTGAAGATCCCCCATGGAAGGCCTTACCCTCCCTGGGGAGCAGAAAGGGGATGGGATATGGGGTTGGCCGGTGAGGTGCAGGGGAGGAGGGGAGGGAGAGGGAACTGGGATTGATGTGTAAAACAAGATAGTTTCTAATTTAAATTTTAAAAAAGAAGAGAGGAGAGGGAAAAAAACGTAAGTAGCAAAGAAAACAATCAAATTCATTGCTAAATTGAGGATGGGAGGAAAATCTCACAGTCAAAATTAGATTTTCTTGAGATGATTTTTAATGGAATGTTTTGGAATACATTATAACAAAAAATTTCATTTACCAAAAAAATAATAATTGCCACTTGTGACTCCTAAAACTGTCTTTGTTCATGCTAGAACTTCAAAAGTCCAAGGAATAACTGATGAATTAAGTGATAAAGTGACAGCGTCAGTCACCTTCAGGTACCTTGGTCTTGCTTCCAGATTTTCCATCTTTCCACTTTGCAGGAATTGGTTGTCTCCTTCTACTATATAGGTCTTGGGTATTGACTCCTCATCAGGCTGAGTTGCAAGCCCCTTTGCCCTCTGGTCATCCTGCCCTTCCTCTTATCTGCCTTTGTCACAATAGTTCAAGAGACTAATTCGAGAGAGATGGTCTGAAAAGTGCTACAGTGAAAACCAGCTCATCCCAGACTCAGACAGGCATCCTCCATCATGTCTTCATTGCTTTTGGTGACCTTTGCATCCATAGTTCTCAGGGACATGCTTCTGCTGTTTGTACTTATTAATCCATCCAATGACTTCCTGCTGTAGAAAAGGATTCATCTCTCAGGCCACCAGACACACTTGCCTCTGTCTCTCTCATTCTGCCCTTTACAAACAACAGTTAAATCACAATTTTGTGTAAATTTGAAGGTCAGTTTAGGCACCATGACTAATCACTGATATTTTCTAATTCAAGTGTTTTACTATGATTGCATTTCTTTCTTAAACACATTTTATTTTCCCTCCAATTGAAGAATGCCCTTTCTACTCCCTTCACTTTTCCTATCTCTGTAATTTATAAATCCTCCCACAGATCTTTCAAATGCTGTATCTGTTATAAAACCAAAGTCATTAAACTTCTATTTCCTTTGTTTTATTCTTCATCCTACCCTCTTACATCATCTTGTAGCTCTAGCCTGGGCTATTGCAGGGTTACATGGGAGCCCCTACTTCTAACCCATGGATCTTCCACACTACATCTAATGATTTTTAATTTCTTAACTTAGTCTATCATTTTTCTAGGGCATATTCTACAGTAGCTTTTTTGTTTTTTGTTTTTAAGGATGAGCACATGGAAAGAAAATATTTTAAAGAAAGATCTGCATTTTGGAAAATATCTATCCTGCCATCACCTACATTTTGTCATTTAGCTTGGTATAAAAACCTAAGCTGGGAATAATTTTCTGCCAGAACTTTATGATTTGACTCTTTGTAAGGTTCTGTGGTCTTCCGGTTTCCAAACTACCATTGTGGAAAGTCTGCATCCATGTCTTTTGTTAGAATGCTTACCATGTGTCCAGTAGCTTTCTTTCTTCCAAGTGAATATTAGACTCACTTCTATTCTTCCTATTGGTGATTTTTAGTTCCATGGTGACATGATGAAGTGTATTGAACCAATCTAACACTATTTACTTGAAAGCCAGTAACATCTTTGTTTCTACCTATTTAAAGCGATGCACTCCTTTCTTTTAAAATTTTTACCTTTATTTGTTTGTTTGTTTGGTTGGTTGGTGTATCAGGGGTGTGTGTACCCCTGCTTGTATACAAAGGTCAGACAACAATTGCAGGAATCAGTTCTCTCCTTTTGCCAGTCTGAACTCATGTTGTCATGCTGGAGGGCAAGTGCCTTTATATGCTGAGCTATCTCACCAGCCCCTGTGAGCCCCTGTGAAATCCTTTTATATGCTTAAGTTCCTGGCTTTAGTTTTATGATGAGAAATCTGTACACATTCAGTAAACTCTGTAGCCCAAATTTTGATCATATCCCAGGCCAATTATCAATATAACTGTAAAACATTGTCTCAAGAAGCTGGGCAGCAGTGAGCTCCAACCTAGACAGACCATGGTGCAGGAAGAGCAAGCAGTTCTGTACATCACACTCTTCTAAGCTATGGTATATAGCGTAGTAAGAATATTAAGTTTGTATATGTATGTGTTTGTGCATTCGTGCATGCTTGTGAGTATGCAGATACACAAGTGTGTGTGTGTGTGTGTCTGTGTGTGTGTGTATGTGTTCGCACATGCCTATGGAGGCCAGAGGACATTCTCAGATACGGCTCTTCAGACACAATTACCTTGTTTTTGAGGCAGGGTTGCTCACTGGCCTGAAACACACCAATTAGGTTAGGCTAGATGACCAGGGAGCCCCACGTCAGAATTACAAACACACACCATCACACCTAGCTTTTTGTTTTATGTAGGCTCTGGGGTTGAGCTCAGTCCCGCATGCATACAAGGCAAGCCCTCGACCAGCTTAGCCTTACCTCTGCCCCCTCCAGTACACTTCTGACTCACACTGTCTTCAGCTTATGATGATCTGATTAGGACATAACCTCTTCACAGGTCATTGTGACACTGTTCTGTTAGCAGCCTTGTGGAGAGAGGGATCTCATTTGAAGATGAAGGTAGTTAAGGGAACAGAAATCTGTGGTGGCAGATTTTAATTTGAAGAGACAGTGTGGACATATTAAAATTCAAATCTAAGTGTTTCTCTCTCGTTGGACATAAGGGGAGCCAAACCACTCCCTCCCTGTTCTCTGAAGTTAAGAGTAGAAGCCCCTCCCCACCCCAGCCTTCAGTGAAGCTTGTCAGGGCACAGTCCGTGGAAAAGGGAACACCTAACACTGAGTAATTGCTGGCACTCTGACTCATACTAAGCAGCAGAGTATGAAAGCAGGCTGGAAAACCAGAGTCAGGGCGAGGAAATATATAGATGAAGGAAAATATGCCATCATTTATAATGACAGCATTTCAGACGCCGGCTCACAGCGAAGCAACTTCCCTTTGAAGATCTTGCTTGCCTTTCCACCTAGGCACAAATAGCAGGCTCTGAAGTGAAATGAAAAGTCATTGCTTTCCAGGGCCAGCCTTTGAAAGAACAGCACGCTCTACCTGAGGATTTTCTCAGAAACAAAGGGGGCTTTTCTGTCACTTCGTATAAACAAGTAATGTGTCTTCATGGTGTGTGTGTGTGTGTGTGTGTGTGTGTGTGTGTGAGAGAGAGAGGGAGGGGGGGGGGGAGAGGGAGAGACAGAGCGAGCTAGTCCATGTTGCTACAGTCGGAAGAGGAATCAGTTCTTCAGGGTTACCGGCATCTACTTTATGTTTATTTCTTTAGCTTAGCCTTTTAAAAAGAGAGAGAGAGAGAGAGAGAGAGAGAGAGAGAGAGAGAGCTTTTTGTTTTCAGGTGTAACAAATGGGTCCTCTGTTAAATGGTGCTTCCTGAAGGGACTTTGCAGGTGACACCTTCCAAAGGATTTTTTGTCTTTGCCCATTTAGGGACATACCCATTGCTTTTCCCAGATGAACTGTGGACACTTGTATTTTTTTGTTATACCATGATACTATGTAACTAACCCCAACTTCATCTGCATATACGTTAAGCAATCCTGCAAAAATGGGAGGAGGTATTTGAGCCAAGCTGTGAAAGAATGGAACAAGTTAAGATCTCTATTGAACTGGGACAGACTACGACCCCTGACGACTCATTTTTTTCATTAAACAATGCAGCTAGAACTCCACTTCCCCTTTCAGCTTTTGAATGCTCCTACAGTGTTGAAGAATCTACTCCCGTGAAGTACCTCAGATCAGCCACTGTTGCTTCACAGTGTTCTGTGATTATGAAGGAATTTGCTCATTAGTTATTTAATGCATTGTGTACAGGGCAAGGCTTACAGCAGCAAACCAACACACACCGTCCTTGGTCTCGTTGAGTTCACCCTCCAGGGGCAAAGGAAGACAAAAGCAAGCTTTTAAGTAAATACTCATTGCTAATTATGATGAGTGCTATAAAAGATAACCGCATGGCTCTGTAAGAAAGAACTTCAGGAGCGCCGGGTTGTGGCTCAGGACTTGAGTGCGTGCCCAGTATGTGCAAGACCACAGGGTTCATCTCCAGGGTGGAGGAGGAGGAAGGGCAGATAAAAGGAGATGCTGGGAAATCCAAGGAGGAAAAAAGGTGAAGCATGAGAGTAAGAAGATGGAAGTAAGGGGGAATAGGGGAGATGAGAAGATGGGGGAGGGGATGAGAGGAGGGGACAATGGAAACGAGGAAGAGGGGGGACAGTAGGGAGACAAAGGAAGGCAAAAGAGAAGAAAATATCTGGGCAGATGAAGGGAAATGCTTGGTATAAATGACAGAGTCAAAGCATGAAGGGGTCAGTAGCCAAGTAGAGAGAGACAGGACAGCATTGTCGATATATAAAGTAGTGCGTGCAAGGACCCTGGGGGACTACAGAGCTAATGCATCCAGAGAACTGAAAGAAAGCCACCTGGCTAATATTTCATGAGCATGAGGGATGGCAGACGTCCTCAACTCCTGACACACTTGCCCATCATGGGGAGCAGGTGGGAATGGGTAAGATGTTAAGACAACATGACTCAGTAAGGGCCAAAAGAGAAAAGATGGACGTTTTACATGAACAGCAAAGAACGTGGATTTTGCTAACTTAAATTAAGACAAAGAAAGCACGAGTGGCTTTGATTTGCTAAAGTTATAAAGAGAGAAACCAGAGTGGATACCTTAAGCAGGAAATGTGGGATGGGGGAAAGGATACATGATGTTAAATTTTTCCATTTTTCAAGTTTCCAGAAAGAAATCCCAGAGAAGACTAAACTGGCTAGAAGTATCCCCCTTTTTCATGGATTTCAGACCAGACCACAGGAAAGGGCAAGCTGTACCTAACCAAAGTTTGCTGTGTGCCTGACAGGAACACATGCTAAGCACGGACTGCGCTGCGGGGCCTGTAAGATGAGCATCCATCACAAGTGTGCAGACGGCCTGGCACCCCAGCGGTGCATGGGCAAGCTGGTAAGGGCTGGTGCCAGGTGGAGCCCCGGAAAACTATGTCTAGAGGCCCCAGGAGCCTGTCCCGGGGAAGCCACACCCTCTAAACTCCTTCTTGGGAGTTCTGAAGCATCCTCAGATGTGCTGGCCTGTCACTCAGCTTCATCGGCACAGTGAAGGAGGGGGGGATATGTCGATCTCTGTAACAGATGCCCTACACTGGAAAGGGGTCCAGTCCTCAGAGGGTGCAAGCTTGCTCTCAGGTGGGGCCTTCTCAGCTGTGGCATTTCATCTCACTCCACCTGGGACAATTGAGGTTTTCATGGTGAAAATTAAGCATCACAGGAGACCCCATCAGTGCATGCAAACTAGGGAGCTTTGTCACAACTAGGTTACCAGGTATTTAATTAGCTGTTATTTGAGTGGGGGTAGAGAGAAGCTAGTCCTCTGGCCTTAGTGTCCCTGTGACAGTCATGTTGGTCAAACTACAGTTTGACCAGTCTGCACATTCTGCTCAGACCATCTCAGCAGTGTGGCCTTCAGTCCTGGTATGCCCCAGAACACATTTGAAGGCTACTGAAACCAGAGTGACCAAGGATTACTCCAATGTCCACTATAGAGAATTAGCAACAGTCTCCAGAAACTGTTAATCCCAGCCCAGGAAGGAATTCTGAGGACTTTTCTGCCTCTCAGGAGAAGTTCATGATAAGCAGGTATAACAGTTTAACACCAGATGTAATGCCACCAAAGTAGGGAGCTGCCTCTAACCCCAGTTTCTAGCAATGATCAGACAAGGATGGGTACCACTTGCAAGAACATGTGTGAGGACTCATGGATGCTTGTAGGAACCAGGTCACCAAGTTACCTCCTAACCCTCGGGTATAGCAAATCTAGATTCTTAGAAAGTGCATGCAGTGACTCTGGCTTGCAATGCCCTCTTCTTTTAAATTCCTGTGGCATCTGTTACCCTCTATGTTTCCAAGGGTAGTTACCACCAGCCAAAGGAAAAGACCACAGGTCAGAAACACACAGAAGCTAGAGAGCAAAGTTGATGGTTCTTCCCTGTGTAGGCTATTAACAATGTAAAGCACCCCCAGTAAGCTGTGATGGAGAACTGTGAGATGTGTCCTGGGGTTGGGGTGGGGGTTCTGCATGTAGTGACGTTATAGGGCCCAGCAGAAGAGGCAAGGGCCAGAAGGCTAAGAGCTTGCCTTCAGATGGCCCATTAGCTTGCTCACCTCCATCATTCCTCTCTTTCCTTTCCCATGTCAGTTGTAAATCAGAGCATTAACAGGCTATGTTAGTACATCAAAGAGAGGCAACAACTGGCTTTATCCTTAAGACTCCTGCTTGGTTTTCTCCCTCTCCTCTCTGACATCAAGCCCTTCTCTTCTTCATTCTCTCTCTAGCCAAAGGGATTTCGGCGTTACTACAGCTCCCCTTTGCTCATTCATGAACAGTTTGGATGCATTAAAGAAGTTATGCCCATTGGTAAGTTGGACAGTGATACACTGAGGTGTCAATGGTGACAGTGACCCTATAAGGGCTACAGAGTCAATGGGGTAGCCTTGGCTATCTGTGTGGTGGCTTTCTTTCTAGCTCTACTTGTTTTCCTGGAGATGAAACATTTTCATTATCCCCCCAAATGGAGTTTAAAAATAGGCTCAATAGTAGACACCAAACTTTCCAAATATTCAGCAACAAGACAACACACTTGTCCAACCATCATCATCAAAGCAACACATCCCCTCAGCCATCCCCATATAGTATGGTACCCTGCAGCCCTGGTGCAGAGTCAGCTCCCCAATTATCAACAGTCATTGAACTCTCTGCTATATGCTCTAAGATAGGGCCAGTGGTCATCACTTTTCACAATTGTTTATATACTTATATAGTATCCATATAATTATACATAGTATATATTGTAGTGAAAATCCACATGCATCTATTTAAGGGGTAACAAGGATTTAAGATATGAAAAGGGGAAAAATACACTCACAAATACAGGATATGGTAAATCCAGTTACAGAGCCTTGGATAGCTGTAGACTGATCACATGCTGTTTCATGCCACCTGACCCAGTCTTCCTCACCCAAGAGGGCTCAAACTCCTCCCCTTTCCTTTGAAGAGGTCACAGTGTCAGAAGCACCACTTCTATCAGGCCAGATAGCCCAAGGTCACTGGTAGAGCAAGTACCCACTACAATATATATAATATGTAATAGTATATATGTAATGAAGCATATATATCAATGCTGAGTAGAAACTCAGCAAGTGACACTATTTAATGAAATGCCCTCTACAGACACGGTATGGATATCCTCTTTCATGTTATCTTTTAGTTGGTTTCCATTTGTTGTTTTAGTTGGGTGGGTTGCTTTTTGTTTGTTTTGCTTTCTGCACCTGCAAGCCTCTACTCATCTGTACCTCGGCCTTTTTAGTTGGATGGATTTTAAACTAGAAATGAAAAACTAGACAGCTTTTCATTAGAAACATAAAGTATGATGGCTGGTTGTTTGAGAACACTTGTGTCCCTACTTCAAAATTTTTCTCTCAAGACTAAGTATCTTGGTGATCAGAGTTTCTCACTATAGGAAACAAACTGGTCCCTTTATTATTCTTCTCCCTCAAGGTGTAGGGAGAAGAATAATAGAGGAAAACTATCCACTCAGGAACACCTTGGAGGCAGGTTTCCAGTCAGACATGTCAGGTTTCCTGGGAGAACCCAAGCAGGATGGTGTGGACCCCAGTTCTTGTTGGACATGTGGAGTTCCACTAGGGAGCAAAGGCATTTGATGTGAGCCCTTGTCGATTAGGACAGAGTGAACACACAAGACCCCTGGGCAGGTCCCCAAGGCTCTTTGGCAGAAATCTTGTTTCTTGGGTCAGCTGGGCTCTCTGAGATGGGTGTTTTTCTTCTTTTGCAGCATGTGGCAATAAGGTGGACCCCGTGTATGAGGCCCTCCGATTTGGCACTTCCCTGGCCCAGAGAACGAAGAAGGGCAGCTCAGGCAGTGGTTCTGATTCACCCCCCAGAACCTCGGTAATTGAACTCGTCTTCAGTTCCATCAAGTGTCTAGGTGGGAAGTGGAGGAGATGGCTTAGTTGTCTGCATACTAGCCGGCAAGCATGAAGACCCAAGTTGGATTGCAAGAACCCATGTAAAAGTCAGTACAGCGTGCATGTCTGTAGCCCCAGAAAAAGGAGGGAGAAAGATAGCAGGTCCCTCAAATTCATTGGCTACCCAACTTCCAATGAATTGTTGAGCTCAAAGCTTAGTGTCAAACAGTTGTGGGTTCCTGTGTCCAGTAGTAGAGAGTAGGGATGTAGGTCAGACAGGTGAGGCTAGAATGCCTTCTGATGCAACACAGCTTCTAAAAAGCCATTTTAAAGTCATTGAAAGCTCTGTCCTTCTACTGACTTCCAAGAGAAAAAGAAATCATAATCATGTTTCATTGTCTACATGGATGAAATTCTCAAGAAGAAAAGTGACAGTTTAAAAAATGAAAAATAACCTCCATTTGTTTTTCTTAGCTTATGCATAACATTGACGCCATTTAGGTTTGTCTTCTACTCAGTTAGGGTGAATAGCAGTGGATAGTTTGCTAGCCCTGTGGGGGACACTAAAGAGGAAGGGGACAGGGCTACCCACCCTTTGGTTCAGTTGTTTCTAAAGACTAAACCAGTAGAGAGGAAAGCACTGTTCGGTGTTTCAGAAAGACACACTTACATATCTCCTTCTATTTTATTAAGAAGGAGAGTGTAACAGTCGTGTTAGGGTTATTATAATGGTCATTTCATGTGAACACTGAAGGGTTTGATAGGAAAATCAAAGTGTTTGGCAACAATGTCTCAAGGCACTTAGGATATTACTTGTGACATTGTCCGTGTGTTTTAGTGTATGCTAACGTTCATGTGGGGACATGCAAATGTGTGTGCACGAATGTGGAGGCCAAAGGTCAGGTTAGGTCACCTGCCACCTTTCTCTCACTTCAATACCCCTGAAACTCACCGATTCAGCTAGTCTGGCTGGCCAGGAAGCTCAAGGGGTCTGCCCGTCCCCATGCCCCCCAGCCAACACTGGGGTTATAAGCACCTGTCCCCGACACCTAGTTTTTACATAAGTGCTGGCAGTCCAGACTCAGTTCTCATGCTCACACAGCAACCACTTTACCGAGTGAGCCCTCCCCAGTCTCCTAGAGTTTGTGACATGACCCGATGACCTTCTGAAATTCAAATGGTGATGTTAATGCATCTACTAGAAGACCCATAGAAATGGTGCTAAATGTGATTGAAATAAAAACCATGCCAAAGTGCATGAGTTTGTGTGGGCATGTCCATCAGTGAAGGGCCATAAGTAACAGCTGAAAATGCACAAATGCTATGCAAATTCCTCTTTGGCTCCAGCACTGGCATTAAAGTTCTATACTCAGTTGGTTCATGATACATCGTGGCTCAATGGCTTATTCTGTCTCCTATTTCCTCCAAGATGTCAGAGCTCGTGGATGTTCCTGAAGAGGCTGATGGACCAGGAGATGGGTCTGATCTCAGGACACGCAGCAACAGTGGTGAGTGAGGACCACACTGCCAAGACCTGAGCACACCATCAGGGGCTGCAAGGGCTGTGTCCACTTCTGTCACACACACCCCTCATTTTCTGATAGCTCTGGAGTATGACCTGGGCAAGAGTCTGGTGTTCTTGAAGGAAGGCAGGTGTCCATTCCAGGCAATTCCAGTGATCTGACTCCACTTGGCTCCACACTGTCCCCTGTGTGTTCTCAGACCTCCAGGCCTGGCCATTAAAAGGCTTGGGAGTTGTTTACAGCCTTTTGTGAATGAGTTTTTCCTCCACTGACCCAGATCAGATCTGAAAACCTGACCACTTACACATTGCTTTGTGCCACGTCTGATATACCTGAATCGGGTGGGCAGTGAGAGAGAGAGTCATTCTAGGAGATTATTAAGACTCAGAAACCACTGCAGGGGATAGAAAATATCTCAGTAAGTGTTTGCCTTGAAAGCACAAGGACCTGAGACCAATGTTCAGAATCCACATTTTAAAAAAGTGGATGGTACCTGAGGAATAACAGCAGAGGTTGGCCACACCAGATTCCATAAACACTGGCACACATGTACACTCAAACCCATACACCCATCTGTACCTGTGTGTGTGTGTGTGTGTGTGTGTGTGTGTGTGTGTGTGTGTGTGTGTGCAAGCACACAACACCCCCCCTTGTAGGGAGTCACCCTAGCCCCGCCCAATAGTCCTGGGGCAGGTACCAGGTGGACCCGGGGACTCGCCCAGAAGGGCGTGGTGAAGGAAAGCCGGGGTGACGTAAGGGAGCTTCTTAAGGGGCTGCACGTGGGGAGGCTGGCCCTTTTGTTCTGGCCGCGCTGGCTGGGTTCTATAACCTAGCTCTGGCCTGTGTTTTACCTTGGTGTATTCTGGAATAAAGAGACATTAATCATACACCCCCTCACACACACAGGGAAAAAAAGCACTATGGGGACTGGAGAGTTGGGTCAGTGGTTAAGAGACCTGATTGCTCTATCTGAGTGGCAGAGTTTGGATTTCAGCACATACATCAGGCAGCTCATAAAACTGCAGCTCCAATGGATCTGATGCCCCCTTCATGCCTATGGACACGTGTATACACACATACACACTCGTGCACATGCACACATTTACACACACTAAACTAGTAGGGATATCAGTTAGGCAGATTACAGCAAAGCATGGAAGTCTCGGCTGGCTTCAACTATCTGAAGACATCCCAAGCCTTTGGGCTGGTGGAAGATGGGAGTCTTTTTGTCCAGATAGGATTTTGCTTCACAGTCCCAAAGATATGAGATCAAACCCAGGAGAATGATAAATACCTATTAAGGGGACTAAAAGTCACCCAAGACAATTTGGTCCCACGTCTGTAAGAACTGACTCCACAATCACAGAGATTAGTCAGTTGACCAGCCTTGTTGAGCCTTTAACACAGGCATGGCTGTTTTGTCTGGAAACTTTAGCTCATGGGTTCTTCACCATCACACAGGAAAATGGTGCAATCACTAGGTGACCTCTTAACAATGTGTTAGCAGACACACAGTTAGCAGGCAGAATCAGGCAGAGCCATTCTGGCCCAGGTCTGTGTAGAACCATGTGCCAGCCAACTGGATTTAGCTAGCAGTCCCAGAGTTCAACATCGCAAAGATTAAGCCACCAGTTGCATAACTAAACTTTCCCATTCATTTGGCAAGTCTAGCCAGCGGCTCATGCTGAGTTCAATCTCTGCGGTCACCTGCCCACTGGCTGTTTTCTTCAATGGACCTGAAGGCCTCTGCACTGGACATCTGGGCCTCAGCAAGCCTTGCTCTGGAATTCACTTTGAGATCATGTGACCTAGAGGCACTCAGTAGATGCTTTAATGAAAATATTGACATCACTAGGAGTTCCAATAGGCTAGACTTAGTCACCCATCCCCGATAAGGCAACTAGATAGATGCATAATGGCAAGAAGCAGAGTGAAAGTGACCACAGTGGGACAAGAAACAGACCCAAGGATCCAGGGTACAAACAAGCAGTTTAGAAAAAAGGCAAGGTGGGCTAGAGAGATGCTCAGTGGCTAAGAACACTTGAGGTTCTGAAGAGGACCAGAGTTCAGTTCCCAGCACCCACATCAGGCAGTTCACAACTACCTGTAATTCTAGCTCCAGGAAATCCAGCACCTTCTTCTTTTCTCTAAAGGCACTGTTCACATGTATGTACACATACACATACACACATGCACAAGTGAAAATAAAATATATTTTTTAATAAAGCGCAAGAGGTATGCCGTACTAAGGAGTCTTGGTCAAGCTGCAATCCTGCCCAGCACTGACGTACCATTATCTTGCTTCATTCTACACAGTGGACAGTATGGTGTTAAGATGTCAATCTCATACTTGCAAGGTTACAGCCTCATCTTCATGGATGATTGTCCTCATCTGAGAGGTTTTGCTCTCCCTGGCGTTCAAAATGACAGAGGAGGAAGGAAAAGGACCATTGGTTAATCTAAGCCTTAAGCTAGCTACAGATACAAAAATGAAGGCAGGGAGTCCTTCATTAAAAGCAAGGCTCTCACTCCTTGCTTTTAGTTACCTTGTGGGCCTAAGTGGGGAATCAACACTTGCTAACAAAAGCAGCTTTTAAGGGCAGTTTCAATAACTGTGAAACCATAAGGCTGTTGTGATCTTTAAATAAGATAATGTAATGCCACCCACACACAAAAAGCCAGCCTTCATCTCCGGCAACAGGCTTTTCCAGATATCTATAGACTATGAGGCCCAGTCTTTGGAAGGAGGAACTTATATTAGCTGATATCAGGGTTCCTGGGGTACTTCAAAATGAGTTCCATATTCTAATGTCTCCAAACAAAGAACTAAGCATAGGCACATAGTTGCAATGGAACCAAGATGGTCTATTAAGAGAAAGGATGAGGAAGCTGGCCAGAGCACAGAGCTAGCTTAGGAGCTTAGTGGTGCCTAGTGCACAATGGACTAGGGCTTTGAGGCTCCTTTGCATGGCATGCCATCTCGCTTAAGCTCTGTGACATGGTTCTGCCTACCACTCCATCCTTCAGGGGCCTCTTCAGGGGCATCTTCACCCAAGGGCATGGAGATTTTGTGCAGGACTGAATGGATTTGAGACAGTGTGCCTGCACCAGTGGCCAGGTCTAGTCATCCTTGGCCAGGGTTTTTCCAGCCTTCTTCTGTGTGAACTGTTTACATTTTGTTTTTCTAGTATGCAGATTTTGTATGGCTTTAGACAAGGCCTTCTGAACCTCATGCTCTGGCCTAGCGCCCAGCCTCACAGGCACCATAACATTAAACATACATGCTTTTCCTCAGTCTCTCCAGCTACTCACCAACCCACCCACATGGACTCTCCCACACCTCTCTGCTCAGGGAATAGGAACGCCACTCAACCATTGGTTAGGCCAAAGTCTTTTGTGTTTGGTCAGTCTCCCCATTTCTTCACACACCTCCACATGTAGCCATCAGCAAATCTACCTATAGCTCATGAGAACAGCCATCACATGCCTACTGCTGGGCTCTCTGTCTCAGTCATCCAGATCTGACTCCATCAATGCTAGCCTGTTAGACTCGTCCATTTGATAGTAAAGACTCCCCTTATTGACAGAGAGCTCTTCTCTCACAAACTGCTCTGAGCAGAGTTATACATTGCAAAGAGCTAGATTTGGCAATTATCATTGCAAAGTGTTATTACTACTTACGAATTCTTCATAAGCTCCTTGAGGCAGAGACACAGCCTGGAGATTTGTGCTCTACCTGCACACAGACCCCTTATCATTTGGGACCCTGTTAGAAATGCAGAATTTCAGTGTACCAGCGGAACAGGTGTGGGTATGTGATTTGTGGTGTTTGAGAAGTAGGGTTAGAGCATTCAGTTTCTCTCACCCCCAATACACACTCTCTCTCTCTCTCTCTCTCTCTCTCTCTCTCTCTCTCACACACACACACACACACACACACACACACACACACAGAGAGAGAGAGAGAGAGACAGAGAGAGAGAGAGAGAGAGAGAGAGAGAGAGAGAGAGAGAGAGGTGGGGGGAGAGAGCACATTCCAAATAAATGAAGAATGAAGAATAAACACACTCAATGGCATAAAGTTGACCATTTTCCATCTAATCCATGTTAATGAGCAATTCACAGTCATATTGAGAGAGATCTGTGAGAGTGGACATGGTAGCACACACCTGAAACCCGAATGCTCAGGAAGCAGAGACAGGGTGATCACAAGCTCCAGGCCAGCCCAAACTACATGAGCAGCTAGTCACATTTCTTTTAAAGTAAGGAGTAAGGAAAAGAAAAGTAAAAAAAAAAAAGTCATAGCAAGAGAAAGATGCATTCATAGCAAGCCATAAACTTCTAACAAGCTTGGGAGATTTGTGTGCAAGCCCTTGGATCAGCATAGCTTTCTTCACAATGCCGTAGCAGCCTCAGGGGGATTAATTGTGCAGCAGTTTGCTCCAGGCTTTGATTGATCTCAGTCCCTCATCCCTGCAGTCTCAGAGATAATGGGGGGAATGACACTCAAATGCTGCAGTTTCCCTAGGGTCCTCTTGATCGGGACAAGAAGGTGTGGCCTTTCAGAAGTTCTGTGGAACTGGTCACAAGCTCTTCTGAATGGCATGTTTCATCGTGTCCAAAAGGCACACGTAGTTCACATACATGTTATGTCTTCTGCTCAAATGTCCAGCCAGACTTCTTGAGGAACAGCTCTCTCCAGCTTCCTTAGAAGAGTACTCAATTCATGCTAACGTCATTACTGCTAAGGTTTCAGTCTGCGTTCTCTCTTTGGAGTTGTCTTGGGCAGGTCTGAGTCCTGGCTCCAGTTTCCAGTTCCCCTAGATCTGTCATAGATACAGATGCGGAAGGTGTTGGCTTCCACCTTAAGCTTCACTGCTAAATGCTTCACTCATGGCAAAGCAGCATGAAAACTGAGAAACAATAGGCAGCTGCCTGTTTCTGCTCAAAATGGCAGATAACAGCCTTCCCAGCAGCCTTCGTTG